GGGGGGGGGGGGGGGGGGGGGGGGGGGGGGGGGGGGGGGGGGGGGGGGGGGGGGGGGGGGGGGCGTTGAGGCTGTGAGGGACGAATTCCAGTATGTATGCTAACTGCGTGTGTTGGGTTCGACGTCAATTACACAAATTTGGACTGGGGCTCCAAAATTTTCCATTTAGGGAAGCAGATTTAGAATTAAGAAAGTTTCCTGGAAACTTCCTGTACTGCAGGCAAATAATTTGAGATTTAGGCGGCTTCATATGATTGGCTGACGGGCAACAGTTCTCCTCTCCCACCCAACGAACTTCCCCTGACCGCAGGTGGTGCTGCTTTATTGAGGTGCGCTGCGTGACAGCTGCACCCTGCTGACACCGCTCTCTCTCACTGCTCTGCTGTTGAGTGTGCGTGCATGCATTGCGTGTGCGTGTGTGTCTTCTGGGCCGCCCCCCTCAACCCCACCACACGAAATCGCACCAGGACATAGACAGGAAGGGAGGGAGTGATTGTACTGGGCGGCAGCCTCTGCACGAATTGAAGTGTCGCATTTCAAGCGTTCGCGAGAGAGGAGGTTGTTATTGGGACGGGGGCACATCAAGTCAAACTCTTTCTCCATGATAGCAGAGAACCAGCAGAGAATAATTTTGCGCGGGGAGGACGCGCCCGTCTACACCAGGAGGCCATTTGCGTGCTCTTCTTCCTGTCTGTGTGCTCCTCTTGGTTTGCTGGCGGTGCTGCCACCACCTCTACGTCATCGGTTGTCGCTGTTTCCGCGGTTCCGGCGCCCGCTCTCCTCTTCCCCCTTGCCTCAACCTGTGTGTGACGGGCGGGTGTTGCTGACCTAAAGCCGCGCAAACAAGCCCAACTTGGCTTTCTGACCGTGCAGCCTCCCTCTTGCTGGTGCCGCGCCAACTCCAGAGCCTTTTCGCTGGGCGCTGGCCTTCTCCGAACTGCTGTGTGTGCGTGGGGGTGGTGCCTGATTTGTTGAATCGAAGAATGCCTCTAAATCGGAAAGTCGCCAACAATTTTCCACAAAACGAGCCTCCCTCCGCTCTTGAATCTGATTAATTTTTTCCGATCTTGGGTTCTGGCGAGACTGTCAGGAACGATCCTCAGAACGATGGCTTAAATCAAAACATTTTCCTTATTTCGGAAAATTTTCGAGTCCGAAAGAGTCTAATGCGGGATTGTCATCATTTGTATGTAGACTAAATATCTAGGTGAAACCTTGCTTTTTGATCGGGAATCCATTCGCGTCTCGTAAACACATAGATACATACATAGTCAAACAATACTCCGTATATGCTGTACTACATACATACATACATACACACCTACCTGCGATTCACACGTACGTAATGATGGTGATGATGTGAAGACACAAACAACAACAAGAACACATTGATTGATTGATTGGTTGTACAACAACACCTACCTCACTATGAAACGAACTAACTACTCTACGTGGACACATACATACATGATATCAACGCGTGGAACAACAAAATTATATCTTTGAACACAAAAAAAATTACATTTTTCGTCGCCCGTGCTCATTCAACATACATACAAATATAGGGACATACACATTACATGTAGTCTTGCTCTCTCTCGCGGTTTGCACCCACCCGCGAAAAGACCAACCTGAAGGGACGTATTATTATGTAGTATTCTATGCATTGTATGTCATGTATGTATGCACACTACGCCATGTATGTATAATAATAGTTGGTTGGATGATGAGCCACCATCTACTCTTCTTCGACAACAACAGCCGAGCCAGCCGTAATCATACTAGAGTATGAAGTATAATTAGCGCCCGATCTTGGTGGTGAAGGAATTAGCCTGGAAAAACTCGAGAAAATAAATGTATCACCAGACAATCAGCAGATAGAAGCAGTTTGATCAATGATGATCACCAATAATATTCTAAATAATACTACATGGAGAGTGAGTAGAATCTATGACGACACGAACAACACGGGCCACTCGTCGCATCACCAAACAAAGGAGGAGTAACAACTGCCACACAAAGCCAGCCTCGGTCGAAACTAACCACGAAGGTTCTACATGCGGGCGCCAACTAACTGCTGCTGCCTGTGGTAAACAGTTAGATATAATACCGCACAGAATCCTACTAGCAGCTGCTTTTCACATACTACAACGGCTCCTTGCGTGGTGTTTGTTGACCCTGTTACCCACGGGTGAGATAAATGACTGTGTGATGCTCGGGAAATCGTGGAAGTACAGGTAGTCTTCTCGCTGATACTATGGATTCAATTGCTATTACATGAAGTCTACATATCTTGACTCTTTTTCTCGATGAAAATATGTACTTCGTAGTTTGTCGAGATAGATCAAGCGATATAAAGAGAGATGGATTTGTTGGGTCATGTCAAGAAAAAAAAAATCACGCCTCCTTTTCGTACTTCGTCAAAGAAAACATTTATTGTGGGACGCAACACCGGAACAATACAGAGGAGACCCAGATCACGGTTGGTACACAGCAGCACAGCAGTGGAGGGATCGGGAACAGCCTCTACTACTGCGTGGTTCTGCTTGGTCAGTAACCGGGCTAGTCTGGTGGTGGGCGTACGCTGTTTTTGTTGCTCTCGTGCGTGACAAAAGCGCACCTATGCGCTCTTGCCCTTTATGCATCACGCAAAAAAAGCAGCCTTTTCTCGCTCTTTTGGTGAGACAGAGTCAGTCCATCCAACCCCGCCGTCACACACACACAGCGCGGCATCCCCGAGATGAAGAGGACGAGAGCAGATCGCGCCCTCGGAAACGTTGGAGCATGCCAGGAGGGCCATTCCGCGTGTTGTTTTCCGTTATGTAATTTGTCGAGGGACACGTTGCACTTGGATGATGATGCCATATGCACAATACTCTGACCTCCAAAGTTTTCTCCCTGGTACACACAGCATTCATTCGCATTGCTTGCCCCCCCTGGCAGGGGAGCGCCGGCACGCTCATGCAACACGCCAAAAATCTGCATACATTTCCTGCTTGACCTCCCCCGACCCAACTGAGGGATACCACCCGCCCTTTAGCGTGTCCCTTTCTCCGCTCTCCGTGCCCTTTTCTCGCGACCTTGCTGATTTTTCTCCTCTTTGCAGGTGCAGGATAACCCCGAGTGACTGCTGTGTGTGAAGCTGCTGCCGACCAAAAAGAGAGCGGGAAATCTTTTTTTTTTCTACCCAACAAGCTCCTCTCTTTTGGTTTAAACGAATTCGAATCCGAGAGAGAGAGAGAGAGAGAGAGAGAGAGAGAGAGAGAGAGAGAGAGCGAGAGAGACGGACCACCATTTGCGGTGCCCCACATGATCGCAAAATCGGGTCCCGGAAAACAAAATAAAATACGCGGGACGCAGCAGCGGCCGTCAGGAGGAGAGCGAGAGGATAGTCCAACCCATCCCCCCTACCCTCTTCCCGCTATCAGGCCGGCCGGTATCATGGCCCAGCAGCCAAAGGGCGGCGGCGGCGGAGGCGCGAATAAGGAGGAACGAGGGGGCAGGTGCATGGAAAAGGCCGGCGGGCATGCAACAGCATCGCCCGCAGCAGCGCCAACCCGGAGGCGCGGACAAACAACACAGCAGCAGCCACGGAGAAGGGAGGAGTCGGCAGGAGCATCGGCACCAACAGCCTCTAGCGGCGGCGTATTTCCCGACGGCAGGGGTGGGGATGGCGGCGGTGTTACCGGAGCGTTGGTGCCGGGGCCAGCGATGAGCCCTCGCTACCTCTCGGCGGAGGCCAGGCTTGCCCAGGAGAGGGCGTGGCTCGCGGAAGGGCTGCCGGCTTACTGTGAGGCGGAGACCAGCCACGGGTCTGACTTCACCTGGTCCTTCAAGGTGGCGGGATTACACGGGACGCTGTATCAGGTGCGGTGCGGCAGCCTCCAACCCTTGTTGTGACCATTCGTACCTAGAGTCGTCGTTGAGATTCAACAACAGCAACCCGAGACCGTAGAACGAACGAACAGCGGCAGCACCTCCGAGAGACGATGAGAACGAATCTGGATTCTGGTGCCAAGAGAGAGCCTGTGGCGGCGCGAGATTTACTGAGTACTGTATGTGGTGCTGCTCGTAAAGATCACAACAACAGAGGTCATGACAAGCAGACGGCGGCAACGAGCAAAATTTGTGCTCGGCCAACACGAGAGGTGCTCGGGTTGTTGTCCGGGAAAGCGCTCCGTCGATCTTGAAGATGGTTGGCCCAGGGCGGACGGAAGGGCAGCATTCGGTGGCCCAAAGAAGACACTGGTCGTGAGATGGGATAAGCTC